CAACGTAATAATGGGATTGACCGACACATTATAACGCCCCCACGGCTGAAAGGGCGAGCATATTTGGTGTGGCGGGGATTCGAACCCGCGACCCTCAGATTGCGAGTCGAGCGCCTTATCCACTTGGCTATACCGGGCTTACTTGTATATGTGATATTTTTACGAATTCACAGCTTTTTGCTTATAATTAAGCACAAAGCTACACAATGGGCCATCTGTGCTCTGCTCACTACGGGTATCGAAACCCGGTTTCTAGTGTTACTTAACTTCATAACTTATTTTTTAACATTTCATTAACTATTTTTGTTTATGTGCTAACAATACTATGGACTCAAGAGGGCAGATACCATTTCCAGTATAAGTACCATACTGGTGCTATGCGTTTAAACTTCTATTTATAATTTTTACAGTATGTTGTCTTTACAGAGCTGATATTCCAGCTTCATCCGTATATGTAATGATCTCCTTTGGTCAATATCTTTTGGTGCTTGTTCACATTCATAATATTTGCTCAACTTTGGTCAAAACCAACTATTTAAAATTTTATTTTATTCCATGCCATCTGAATTATTTACTATATTCAAATAAGTTCCTTTGGTCAATATCTTTTGGTGCTTGTTCACATTCATAATATTTGCTCAACTTTGGTCAAAACCAACCTTTTAAAATTTTATTTTATTCCATGCCATCTGAATTATTTACTATATTCAAATAAGTTCCTAAAACATTCCAAAAAAGCAATTACAATTTCATAATGTTCTTGTACTTAACATATATCCAATCACTATTTTTATCCCCATCCTTTTGTCAATAGCCTCGAAGCATACTTTTCATTGCAAAAGGCTCCATCTAAGGTTGTCATGTTCAAAGCACATTCCGCCTCTGTGTATACTTTCTATAATCCATAATGATGGTTTCCCAGCATACATTTCAATGGTATAATCTTGCAAAAGTCCATAGTTGCTGCATCTGGCAACTTGACTGGCATGTCTTTGTATCAAATAGCATGAACACCTATTTCATTCTCTAGCTGTTCCAGATATGCTATGTTGTAGAAGCAACTGATGTCACTTTTCCAGGTGGAGGTACTTCTTGATTATATTGCATACTGTTACAAGGGATATGTGGACAGCTTTTCCCATTGAGCTCTGTGTTTGTAGATTCTTATCTGTTATCAGATACCACACTTTAATTAAAATGGCTGTCTATTTCTGGATTGTCTTTATGCCCCAAATTGATCCATATTCCTTTGTTTTGTAATGTCATTATGTACAAGAGGCAATATCCCTGTCTTAAAAATTCTGAAAACCTGATTTGAACACACTATTCCGATCCAGTGTATGAACATTTTGCATTGGACAGGGTTTATTACATACTCCTCCCAAAATGCAATCAATTTTTGGGGGCATAACACTACTTATGAAATGCCAAAATGTAATTACTATATTTTCTGTCTCATCATGACTTTATATCAGCTGTGGTTGTCATGCAACCTTCTTATTTGTAAATTAGAAATTATTTTAATATAATGTACTCAGTCTTCCATATTTCTTGAATCGTAACCCATATGTTACAGTATATTGTAACTCAAAAATTTGTGAGTGTCGTTAATTAGAATTTTTAATTATACATCTTTGATGATTTCAAATTCAAATAGGTCTATTTCAGAGTACAGTAAATGTATATAGGAATTTGAGTTAGAAAAAAACAATCTAATAAGAATGTACTAGTTTACATTTCAGAATAATAACTTCTATTTTCTGTATTTATCAGACTTTGACAGTAAGCTTTTATTTTTATTATAGTTCAATAAATGTACAAACTGAACATATAATAATTACAAAACTTCCTCAGGTAAAATCATAATTTTTTATAGTTTTTTTTGAGTTACAAGATATTTTCCAGTATTCATTCATAAAGGATCACATCTATATAGCCTGTCATTTCACATATATGAGATTTGGAGGATCCACAATGAGTCACCCCAAAAATTTATTTTTCACGTACTGATAATTTTAACATGTCACAGCAATCATCCAATTAACAAAATAGACACACACACATACATGTTAATGATTTTAACAAAATGCTAGTGATCTGGAAGATAGGTTTATTAATTTACAGGTCCTAAACATTCAAAACATAAACCCTGGTTATCCTCGCTTTTAAAGAGTTAAATGAAAAAGAAACATCTAATAATATCAGGTTATAAAAGGTTGAAACTTGTCAGTTCTTGTAATCTGACTTCAAAACTCTTCTTTAAAGAAGTCACTGAGGGTAAAAGAAGAATAAAAAAAAGCTCACACTTAAATATCTTAAACATTCTAATTTATATAAATATAAAACGTTTAATACATTTTTATCCCTAGTAATTTAAAGTAAATAAAAAAACGACTCATGTATGAGTGCATGTTTAACAAGTAAGTTGAGATGAACAAATGTGTAAATCCCTTGTCAACACAACCTTTCACAAAACATCTAGTTATTTATAAAGCAATTTCCACAAAATATTAATAATGTGTTTTTCCAGACTTGAAATACCCACGATAATGTTTTGAATCATCCTCTATTTTACTTGTGCAAAAATTCATTAATTGTCTATGAAGCTTTAAGTTGGAATATTTTTTGCTTACTTGATGCCATATTATTTAAAAGTTGATCTTTACTTGTCAAAATGGGACTTTCACATCAAAATTCTCAAAATTAATGAAGATTGTCAATCATTTTAAGGAAATATAAAATCTGTTATAACATAAATGAAGACCAAAAAATTAAGTTTATAATTAGTATGAATAAAAAATGCAAACATTTTTTAAACAATGAACACCCTTTATGCTAGAATTTTAATATACAATATTCCTCCAAAGCATTAAAAAAAATCCTTCATTAACATCATAGATGTATTAAATATTTTTAGTTGTACTTTTCAAAAATCACTTATCAAATCTGTCATAATTATACAAGTTACATCTGTTTAATGAGATGAACAGAAAATTATTAACTTCATTTGAAATAAGTTTAAATATTTGCAATTAAATATAAGAAACCAATAATTTATGAAAAAAATAAGCCTAAAAAAACAATAGCATCTAAAATGTTTAGTTGAATATTAATCTTTCCAAAATTAAATAAATTTATCCCTGACATTACAAAAACCTTTCAACTTCTGTGACCTTACTCCTTTGACTAGAAAGGTTTTATTTGTAAAATGTTTATTTCATACATCCACCCAGTGAATCTAAGGAAAGCTATATATATAGATCTTTATTTTTTAAGTAATGATTTGTGTGCAAGTTAAAAGAAATATCTAAGTAGAATGATTTGTGTGCAAATTAAAAAGAAAATAACTATGATTAGAATTATTTTTTCATAAATACTATCTATTTCATATCTACTAAGTAATGATTTGTGTGTAAGTTAAAAGAACTATCTGATCAGAATGATTTTTTTCACAAATACCACCTTTTTTCTGTATTTACTAAGTAACTATTTGTATGAAAGCTAAAAAACAAAGAAACTATCTGATCAGAATTATTTTTTCACAAGTACCATCTTTTCCATACTTACTAAGTAACAACTCATGTGCATCTTACAAAATTAAAAAAGAATAATCTGATTAAAGATACTTTCACACAAGTACCATCTTTTTCACTTTCATATACATGTCATTGAGTCCAGTCAGGTTGGGGGAAGCAATAATTTAACAAAAGAATAATGAAATATTCATTGCATTTTCATGTAATTTTTATCTCACACAAACTCTCATTAGATCTGTTCTGGACTAGATGTATTATCATTATATATATATATTAATATTTGTGTGCAATTAATAAATACAGAAAATATTTAAATAGAAAAATTAAGATTCCCTTTATGATACAAAACTCCATTTTTGTGTGGTCATATTTATTTAGTTACATTATAAAAAATCACAAAGAACCCAGTATCCAAAAAAAATGTTTGTTTTAATACTAAAGCACACAAACATCAAACCTTTCTGAAATGAGGCACATGGAAACAACACTCTTATAACAGCATTAAAGCAGACTTTAAGAAGCATTTCAACAACAGTGGACTTTATATGAAAATACATGCATTTATACTAAACAATATAAATCATTTTTTTAAACTGTAACTTAAGTGACAGTTAAACACAGTCAAGTATTTTTTTTTACATTTATCTGCTTTTCACATTAGCAGAATTTAACATGATCTGTTACTTGTTTCTTAGCACAAGTATTTTCTTTTAAGCCTTAAATCTGATCTTGATTCACCTTTTATCTAACATCTTCACACCCACTTTCCTCTGACTCTATGCAGTGTAATGTAAGTCTTAATTAAATCTATCAGTAAAATCCTACAAGCTACAGAAGGCTAAAGAACTTCATATAAATACGCAAACTTCCAAAACAATATTACAAACTTTCTATAAACTTTGGTAGGAACCAAAGTAAATGAAATTAAAACTACAATTCACATTTCCTGTCAGATGTCATAAGAACCAAAGGTTACAAGCTTCAAAGTCAAGATTAAAAACCTGGTAGATTAATGGTCCACAGAGTTCAAAGCTAAATGTTGTAGCATAACTTTCTATCACTTCATGTTTGATTAAGATCTAGAATGTCAATGATAACATCTTCCGGCACTTAGTAACTAATCCATGAAAACAAAAGTTTATTATGCTTAAACCAGCAAACAAAATTACCAACAGTTACATGAATAATTTGATCCATATCTGACATGGATAAATTATAAACCTTAAATAAATACGTTAGTTACAGCATGACATCATAGTAAAAAATTTCAGATGTTGTTGTAGTTTGTTATAATTAAAAAAACAAAAATAAATGCTTCACATTTACGCATCTTCCTTAACTAGACAAAAGGATATGGAAAACATAAACTAGATCAGGAACTGATATAGACAACTAAAACAATTATGTTAAGCAGTAGAACCTCATGTACAGCAGACAAATATAATGTGTTCATAGCTGGTTTCCACTTCAGGTTAGGTTGACAGAGTCAATAACTAGTTCATAGCTTTTATCTATTAAAATATCAAATTAAAAAAATCACACAAAACCCATAAATATGACTTACAATTGTTTTTAATGGGATGTTTATACACTATTTTTTTAAACTTAATGAATATGTCTTTATGTTATTCTTGCCAAATATAGCTAGGAACTTTTATTTAAAACTAAGATTTCAAAAAGTAATTGGAAAAAAAAGTCATACATTTGAAAAACTGACCTGTTTTTTTAAACATTTTAACATTAATAATGCAAGCCTTTTCATCCAGGTTTAATGTACAGGTTACATGAGAATAAAAAACATTCACAAATATTTTAATGATATGAGAGAGATAACAATATGAAAAGTTAATATATTGATTTGGAAAGATGTGTTTGATCAAATATATTTAAAAGTGTCATTATCCGTTAACACTACGAGTTTACTAAAAGATGAGTTACATTAGAAATAAAATATTTGAAAGAAAACAGCAAATTCAACATTTAGAAATGATTAAATAATAAAATACATATAATCCTACCTTTGTAATACCTGAAAAACACTATATAACCCATCCCATGTCGCTTTGATTTAAGGACGAACGAAACCGGGTACCAGTAACAGTCAGTCTTTTCTTAGCCTGGTAACGCTGATACAGTTTGACTCCCCCATACAATGGAAGAGCAAATACACCAAGACTAACCGCCACTGCACCTGCACAAAGTGCAAAGGATCCCAATACTGGAGCCACCATCAATTTTCCACCTGCAGGGAAAATGGTAAAGGCTCTTATTAAAAACCATTACTTTTTTAACTTTCAAAAATATACATAATCTGGAAAACATAATTTGTTCTCAACAAACCTTTGTACTACTAACAATGAAATTCAGCATATACTCAGGAACTTGATTTCTAACCTGAGATTTTGCAAATGTGTGTTAGCATTTAATGGAATGTTTCTTGCTTCCTGTGAAATAACAAAAGTGATACTTATATGACATTATTACATGAAAGAGCAGCTTACCAAGTCATTATAATTTTAGGTTTCACCTTTCCGTTAAACATAAATATTCTCTAACCTCCAACTTTTTCAGTGCTATAGTTTTAGAGAACTTTTACTACACACTCACGGGGCAGCTCACCAAGTCATTATAACTTTAGGTTTCACCTTTCCGTTAAACATAAATATTCTCTAACCTCCAACTTTTTCAGTGCTATAGTTTTAGAGAACTTTTACAACACACTCACGGATTCTTCATAATAAAATAATTTACATCAAGTGCTTTTAGTAACAGAACAAAAATCAGAGTGTCCAGAAATGTATCCATCCTCTTATATTTCAAGAAATTTTCTGTTTTTACCAACCTATCATTTACAGTTACCACCTATAGAACAAGTAACAACACTAACTCTATTGCATCATTCTGATTCAAGTTACACACACAAACACATATTTATTTATAAAAACTTGAATCAAATGTCTGCAAGTAGATACAGATAATCAACTTATGAACTGGTAACACAGACGGTTAACTGCTGCAGATGTAAGATGTCGCACCATGAGCAACCCATTAAGCACCTATGTACTTAGTTCATAGCAAATTCCTGGCTAGTTGATAGTGCAATTGCACCACAGATAGAATTATGGATGAAGACATACCTAACAGCACTTTATAAAGAAAGATATTTGTATAGCAAGAATGTTAAGTGATATAAAGCCAAAGGACTTTTGAAATGTATTTTTGTGAGCCACTGAAAGACAATTATTCAGAGCATTTGACTAGCATTGGGTATTATATCCTTTAAGCATTATAAACTACAGTTCACCACAACAAGAGTTCTCACATTGTCCTTGGGTTTTCTCTTGTCTAGGGTTATTCACGAGGGCTAGAATTCCATGCAAGTCAAAATTTCTATCATGTGACAAGTTAATAAAGAGTCAAGGCCTTACATTTCTTTTTGTACTCAAATGCAAAATTTTTTAATTTGAAGAACTTGAAATATGCAAGCACTCAATTTCACTTAGAAATTTTGACATCTAAAGATACATTTCGCATAATTTTAGCAGAATGTCATTAAGAACTAATTTTCTGCTTCCATAGTAAGATATATTTTACATAATTTTAGCAGAATGTCATTAAGAACTAATTTTCTGCTTCCATAGTAAGATATATTTTACATAATTTTAGCAGAATGTCATTAAGAACTAATTTTCTGCTTACATAGTAAGATATATTTTACATAATTTTAGCAGAATGTCATTAAGAACTAATTTTCTGCTTCCATAGTAAGATATATTTTACATAACTTTAGCAGAATGTCATTAAGAACTAATTTTCTGCTTCCATAGTAAGATATATTTTACATAATTTTAGCAGAATGTCATTAAGAACTAATTTTCTGCTTCCCTTACTCATTAACAAATAAATTTATTAAGTTTATCAAATCTAAACCAGATCCACCTGCAAATACACAAAACAAGCTTTCAATACATTTGCAACTTACATGCTAAGCTTCCTTGAAGCAATCAAAATCTTAAAGTTTGTCTTATGTTTTGTTTTTATGATACACAAACCTAAATTCTGACGTAAAAGCTCATTTATTAACAAGTTGTCTAAATTGGATTATTGTCTCATTGTCAGCAAAAAATGTAAGGTACATTAGAAGTGAATGAAACCAAGTTATTTAAAGATATTCTAAACCATTCTTACATTATTAAGCATACAGGACTGAAGCTTTCTAGTGTATTTACTTGTAGCATATGTCATAGTTGAATTTCAATTGGTCTGTATGTTTTAAAGATGAATTTCAAAATTATATAAACAACAGACACATGTTAAGCTACTATTGTAGATAGTTCATTTATTTTATTTTAATCTAAAAGTGAGCAAAGTAATTCATATTAGTGTAGGTTATTGGTATATAATGTATTCAAACAGGATCTATATCCATTGCTTACTTTTTCTTATCAAAATGCAATTCTGTTTCATTCTCTTGGAAACAGTGCTGCAGCTACACGTGTTGCTGTCATCCAAATGCTATTATGAACCTTAACAATGACTTGTACATAATTTTTTAACCATTACTCCAATGAAGTAGCTGCAAGCATGCTTACAAAAAAAATAAATGTAGGTATGCCTTGAAGCCAACAGTAAATAAGTACCACATTGCCCCGATTGTAAGGCGATGTTTTTTTATTAATAACTAGGTTGTAAAATTCATGTTTGCCTTATAATTGTGGCTGACCACAGGCCCCTTCCCCGTACTCTAGCCTGTCACATTTCTGAATGTCCAGGTAGCATCCATCTACACATGTTCGCTCAAGCTCACCACTAATTCTTGCAAACTACTCCACCTGCAGGCTGTTCAGTTATAGTATTGATTTTGCTGGTGAATTATTACTTTGATTATGCTCGTTGTAAATTTTATAATAACTGTTGTCTGTGAATCTCATTTTAGTGATCAACCCTTGTGCAATAACAAGTGACCACATTGAAAGACAAGGAATAAGAAAGTGTTAAATTAACAAAGGATTACAATGGAGTTATGATGCAAATCTTAAAATTACGGCAGTGCATGAGATAGAAAAAATTAACAATTTCACTGCTGCTAGAAATTTTCTTTCTTTCCCATGGTTTCTGAAAATGGGGGTCGCCTTATATTCGAGATCGCCCTATAATCGGGCCAAAACGGAAAATTTTTATAACCATACCATTTTAGGCACTGTCACAATAAAATAAGAATAATTAACTCATAACTTACCAAAAACAGCACCTCGCACTAACTTTCTTTCCACAGGTTTGTCCAACTTATACCTGTATTTACAGCCAAATACACTCAACTTGCTGTAGTGGTCTCCAAAAAATTTAAGCCTTCGAAAACGTTCGCCACACCTATAGCAGAAATCTGTCTTGCAGTGACTGCAGTGCATGTGATCACATCCACTTGACCGCTGAATGTAGATCTATATAAATATATGTAGTGTGATTAAATTACTTCACAATGCTTGATGTGGTAACTTTAAATTAAAAATGTATATTATGTAGTACCCTACCAAATACTTAGAGGTAAATGGTAATTTCAGTTATGAAAATTACACCTGCATGCCATTCTGAAAATGAATATATTAATACATATGTGCACATTTCAAGTTCCCTGTATTACAGCACATGCTAAAATCACAATGAAACTCTGTTGTGTAAATAAATTCAGTGTATGTAAATAAACCTATATTTATGATGCTAAGTTCTTTCTTTAATTACTTCCCAAAGAAGGAGTGATAGAGGTTTCATGAAACTAAACAGATTTTTATACTTGGGGATTGTATCTTTCAGCAAAAAAAGCAGCCACCTCTCATTTTATTCATCTGCCCAAAACAACAGCTAAACTGAAGTATTCTCTCTGTGTTAGTCCATGTTTGGAAGCTTGGATCTCCTGGATTCATAACACCATGTCCTTGTTCCAAGATTTTCCTAGTAATTCTTTATGTGCAAGTCTACTAATCTCGTGAAAATATGGGATTAAAAACTGGTGCTAAAAATACACTCATAAATGTATGTTAAGTTTGACAAGCTAATAACTATATGTTTTATATAAACTACAAAAATTTTCTCAGATTGTATACACATGGTTAAAATCAGTTAATGGTGAGACTTTCAGCCAATAGCTGTAACGTTTAATCAGCCTAAATATGAGCCACATATCAGTCATTTTTTTAAATCTTGACTCCCTCTCTTATCTTTGAGAAGCTATTATTTTGTTTATATTTGAGATATTAATCTACAATTTTATATGCTTGCTTTTGTATAATAGTAAAATATCTCTTATCAAATTGCAACCAAATCATAAGTGTTTCTTTCATAAGAATGTAATGCAAATCTGTTTGAGTTAGATGAAATAGTCCATTAATCACATCCGACAAAACTATAACTTGTAACTTTGTGAAAGCTTCTGGCTAAAATATGAGCAAAAAAGAAGAAAAAAATTATAAAATGGACAAATATTCAAACAAAAGAACAAATATGGAAGAAAAAATGGTCATATTTATGGTAAAAGATATGTTGAGATTAAAGGAACCCTAGAAATAACAAAATTCTGCTTAAAGCACAGGATTCGCGAAGAATGAAAGAGTTCACAGAAATTTAATTTAATTTAGAAAAAAATTACAATGTTGATATATATTTCAGGAGGTGTTTACAAGTAACACGATTAGGTACAATATACAAGATATGAAACTGAACAAAAAAAAAAATAAGTTGTCACTTTGTTGAAACTTGCACATAAGAATTTTGTTTTTAAATAAAACAATTTTCAAATATGAAACTAAGACCAAGTACACAACTAATAATTAGTGCAAAATGTAAAAAAAACAACATAAGTTGTCACTTTTTTGGAACTTGTACAAAATAAATGCTTGTAAAGATAAAATAACAAATCTTTCAATGATATGATTGAGGCCAAGTTCATAAGTAACAATTAGTTTAAAATGTAGGTAAAACAAAAATATTATAAGAGTTCAGAAAACTCAATTATGCTGAAAATAACTAAGAGGTAACAGGAGAAGACCATCTATCAAAAAAAGATAGTGTTAGAGTGAGTTTACACAAATTGTTTCAAGAAGCAATGTCACACGTTGCTTTTTTTTTAGATTACATCACGTCTGAATAACCTCCAACCAATTACAGAATACTTATAGTATTTTGGCACTTGTGTATAAAGTTAAAATCATAAATAATATTCAAAGTTAAACTGGTACACAATTAAAAACATTTTATTTAGGCCTATCTATGGTCTTCAAAAAGTTGACGACTC